CTGCAGGCGACGCAAGTTCGTGGAATTCGTATAATTTCGGTTACTCCGGTTGCGTTTAATTAGACACAAAAGCCACGTGCGTGAATTTTTACGTATTACGTAATCCCGGTATCAAATTTCACCTGAGATCAGCAGAATTCTGTGATTTCGGCGAGAATTCTGCTCATGTTTGCTGACCGATGTGGATTTCAACTAGTAGTTATCTACTTTTAATTAACCTCCTATAATGGAAAGTAAATGGACTTATTTATTATGTTCTAACCGTGTTACACGTAATCAAGAGTAAAAACTATCTCACAGAAAAAAAATATTTAAGGTTCATCATAAATGTTTCATTCGAAAACGCGTGATTATATAACTTTCTGAATTCAAACATTACGAAATTTTCCTTTTGACCATTATATTTCTAATCGTACAATTGAATGCTTCTGCGAATTATTTTTTCAAAATAAACGATGAAGATTATAACAGATTATCAAATTCCTATATATATGTCTGTGTGTGTGTGTATGTGTGTAGTCATTATGACGATACCGTTTCGCGGTTTAAACGGTTCGATGTCCGTTCCACAAGAGCCGCGTCCCAACGGGAAATAATTCTCACATGTTTTCTCTTCGGAACGTGTTTCCTCGCAGAAACGAAACGAAGAATTCTCGTATCGCGCGCTCGCATGGTACGGCGGCACTCTTGTTATGCAACCGAAAGATTACTATGTTTTTTCGTCTTTGGCTTTACACGGCTTTGTCTTTGGTTGGCTCGAAGAAAGGATGAAGACAAGGAAAAACAGGAGGGAAATAAAAATGGAAAAGAACATTAACATGTTGAGTTTCGTGGAGGACATCGGTGACCTCCAAATCGAGTTAGTACAATTCACTCAATTAAACGACGATTATTTGGAAACATTTCTGTATTACAAATAATGCCAATAATAATGACGCAGTTCAATTGAATAATTGAATCTTATATTTTTAAAATTTGATGTATTTTGCTTCATGAACACGTTGATTGCCACGAGGATTCTGAACGTTTCATGTAATTTCACTTATTCTTTTGTAACAAAAATATATGATGTTGCAAATAACTATTAATAATTAGGAATTACGATTCTTTTGTTATATCATTGTTCAGTTGCTTACGTTGCTAAACGTTTCTATTCGACATGAATTATTTTACTGTAACTGTTTTCAAACTATTTTGAAGCTTCGGTCATCAATGACCATCATGGCGGTCAATGTGTTAACGCCTGTCACGGGTCCGCCATTGTTAATTGAAAATACGATGAGACTGCCGACTCTTTAACATGGTGACACAACGTTTACGCGAAAATCTATTGTTTAAACCGATAGCCTTCTCCGATAATTCCGTCTTGATGGACGATCGCCATGAAACCAAGGCTCACATATTCATCCACCGACACCACTTCTGAACTATTGCCGTGATTTTAATCACGTTGTAAAATATGATTACGTGTTTTGCATAATTTTGTATCGCCTCGTTCTTGTATCGGGCGCGAAGAAACAAAAGGATACATTCTCCCATTTCCTGTCACAATTGAAACGATTCTATAATTCCTTGACAAAGGAATATTTTTCGAGGATTCATAATCAGACAAGCAAAATTAATCGAGTGGTTTAACACTAGATTCACGGAACCCATCAATATGGGAGTTACTGAATTTTATAAACATTATTTAGTAAAAATTTATATCGATTTTGGTTGATGAAAGAACATCTATTTTTCTACGAAGAATAGAATAAAGTATACAATAAATATCCGTAAACCTAGTGTTAACTGTTCATTCACCCATTTATTAATTCATACATTCTCTCATTTGTCTATTTATTTATTTATTCTTCCATGAATCGTTTGGGCAAAGGAATCGGTTTGTTAAACGCTGCCGTTCACTTAACGCGTTGCATGCCGGCTCCGTGATATTGCGGGATTTTTTTCTGTATGTATGCATGTCTCACGCAATGGTGTTTATTTATTAGTGAAAAATTTCGGTTTTATCGGATCTTTGGTGTTTGTTAAAGTATATACGACGAATATTCAATCAAAACATACTATTTTACGAAAATGTATAAGCTTTTTAATAATTTCTTTAACCCTTGGGCGCGCAATTTTAAAGAAACAACAAACTGTATCTGCACGATAATAATGTAAGAATATAACTAATTAAAAAATATCCTAGCATGCATTAACTGCCAAAAAAAAGTGGGACAATTTTAAGCCCACCTAACCCCAAAGTGTTCAGTGCTCATTCTTCGGGGACAAGCAAGTGAGTTCGAGTATTCAGGCTTTCAGTGGCTGATATTTAACTGACGCGCAATGTGTTAACACCGCAGCGCGTGAAAGAGATCAGGCCAATATCGGCGCGTTCGCATTATTATATGCGCGTTGCACATACATAGACATAAATGCGTCCACTTGAGGCTGTCGGCCACTTAACTGCACATCACGAGATTCTCGGCTTTTGTCAATCAGGCGGCGATCACATGCCGATTGTACGCGGCTTGTGTTGCGTTGTCAACGGGACGGCCATTTATTAGCAGCAACGAGAAATTATTATCGTTTAATTAACAAATAATCATCGAGAAGTGACGCTACCGTATCGGCGTCTTTGATAATCTCTTGAACGAGGAATACGATAAAATTATTCTGAAATGCCGACGTATTTCTTCCTCGAGTAATGCGTCTGCCTACCGATACGACAGGTACGCGACAATTCTTCCATTGCATGTTTTCGAACGAAAAAAGACATTTCTTGTTTATACTCTCGCGCAATCGATGCTGCGTCTAGTTCTCTCGAGATGCGGTTTTTTATACACCTTCATATTGCTTTCACGCGGAGGTTGATGGTAAAATAGCGGTCTCGTTGGAATGTCTCTCCAGGAAGTATCTCTTTTAATCTGTGACAAATCATTTATGAGAAAATTCCATTTTTTCTCGTGATAACGTCCATCAACTAATAGCCCATAAAATTACTTTTTGCTAAGCTAATATTTCTTTCGATGGAAAGCAAGATTTCTCACTTTGGTAACGTCCGTCGTTTCTTAATCCTTGGCGCCGTTTCGCCAAGGAAAACGGCGGCGACAGATTCAAATTCAAATCACATCGCGAACAATCCGACAGCCAAACAGTTCAACGGTCATCTTCGTCACAAAAGTTCGGTTAACCCTACTGCGTCCTTCGTACCTCAATGTTCTGATTTTGTTAGCCCTGTTTGTTTAGTCTTTTTCTTCCGCATCCTCATTTCGTCTAGAATAACCTACACCCAAGAATCTTATAAAAAAAACTTGTTACCAGCCAACATGTTCCCATTTCCGTTTAGCAACACCTCAAACTGACACATAAATTAAGAAACACAGCAGAACTGAAGTGTGCATTATCGTGTACAAAAGGTCTCCCACATAAAAAAAAACAAACACTCAGTATAATTGAACGTTGAAGAAAAACCTAGTTGAAACTTCGCGATCGACAGTGTCGCCTTTCCACGTAGCGCCATGTGCTAGCGATGACAACGTCCGTCGAGCCGCGGCGACTGGTTTTCGGAACGTTGTCTCATTAATGAGCCGACCGGATCGGCCGTTGAAATATTCTACGGTCGGGTGAAATTAGTTGTGTGTACACCATCTCTCGACAAGAGACCTAAGAGAGACAGAGAGACAGAGAGGTAGAAAGGTAGAGAAAAGAGAGACTTCCTTCTCCGTGGCACGGGGAGAGTCGATTTTTATAACGGTGGCGCGCGAAGGGGGCAACAGCGAAGAAGAAAGTAGTTTGAGAAACGCTGCCAATGAAATGAAAAGACGCGATAGTGGGGCCGCGGACGGGCGCGGCGGGTACGGAGGGGAAAAAGGAACGTCCAAAGGAGGTGAAGGTATTGCGAGCGCCGGTTAATTGCGATGCACGCCGTACGACACGTGTCACAGCATTGCGGGGCCCGGTCACGCATTCCCATCGATTACATCGACGACAAACGAATTTACAAGCGCAACTGGAACGTGCTTCGCGAACGCTCCAATAAAAGGAGGCCTTTCCCAAATAAAAAGAAAGGATCGTTCCTCTGAACTCCGCGGTTCGTGACCACCACCACCCTGCCTCGTGCCGACGAACGGCCGCCCGTTACGCGGCTCCGACATTTTTCGCCGGCGAACCTTCCTCCTTTTATCCGGCTTTAATCGGTCTCGCGCCAGGGCCGACGGTGAAAACTGTTACTCGGTTTTTAATTGATTTTTGCCCGCCGGTTACGAAATAGGCTCCGCCCGCGACATGCTCGCACGAACTTTCCATTCGCGAGTCCGTTGTCTCGCGGTTTATGTTTGACCCAGCGGCGCCTAGAAGCTTAGCATTCTTTTCAGTTGTTTGAAATGTACCTGTCTTTTGGGGAATTTCATCCGTTGTGGACGGGATCTATAGAAGCGTTGGGAACGTCAATTAGATATGGGAGTTACTAGGGAGAAATTGTTTATTGAACTTTTATTGTTTGTGTAATCGAATTCTTTGATTTCAACTTTTGGTTCTGAATATGTGAACCTAATGGGACGTTTAATCAGAATGCTATGCAAACCTTTCGATTCATAAAACTATTTTCACCGGTGTAAAAGAAAGAAAGCGTGGCTGTCCAGATATCAGGCTTTGATCGAACGCCGGTTCGCTGAACTTTCGAGCAGTCCCCTGAATCCCAAAGTAAAACAGATAAAAGCGATTGAACGCGTTAACTCTTGTCTTACGACTTCATCCACATTTCATCCAACTGCAGTTACTAGAACAATTTCAACGTTAAGAATTCGCAACAAAGAAAGAAGAATTTTACGGTCACTCTACACTTACATTACTCCAAAGATCAACTTACTACAGAAAAATTGTCCACGCGACAATACGCAATTGAAGAAATACAATAACATTTGCTAATTCCCGTCCGACGCTTTTGCGACGAGCTCAGCGAGACATTACGAGGCAATGTATTAACGGAGACCGATTTTTCTTGGAATTTGTTGCAGGTAGCAACCACGTAGAATGGTAACTTCACAACCCGACGGTACCAGAAGTGTTGGCGGCGGGGGCGGCGGTGATGGCGGAGGCGGCGGCGGCGGTGGCGGCGGTGGCGGCGGCGACGAGACCGTTTACACGGTGACCGTGAGCGGGGTCGGTTACAGGAACGAGGGTTACAAGGACGATGGCACTGACGGCATACCGCCGGAACCCCAGAAACCGCCGCAGTTGTCGTCGACGGACGACGACACCCAGTCCCGGAAGTTCAAGCTATCGCGTGGCGAGAAATGGCGAATCTTAAAGAACATTGGCACCGTCTCGGTGGCGTTTATGGTGCAGTTCACCGCGTTTCAAGGAACGGCGAACCTCCAGTCATCGATAAACGCTAGTGACGGTTTGGGTACTGTGTCCTTGTCGGCAATATACGCGGCGCTGGTGCTGTCCTGCATCTTCGTGCCCACCTTCGTGATCAAGAGGCTCACCGTGAAATGGACGCTGTGCGTGTCGATGTTGTGTTACGCACCGTACATCGGCTCGCAGTTCTACCCGAAATTCTACACCCTCGTGCCGGCCGGCGTGCTGCTGGGCCTCGGCGCGGCGCCCATGTGGGCGGCGAAGGCCACGTACCTGACCCAGGTCGGTGGCGTCTACGCGAAGCTCACCGATCAACCGGTCGACGCCATCGTCGTCAGGTTCTTCGGGTTCTTCTTCCTCGCCTGGCAGACCGCTGAACTCTGGGGCAATCTCATCTCGTCCCTCGGTAAGTGTTGCTTGTTCACGACTTAAAACTTAGCCAATCGTGCGCTGAGCTTTATCGTAGCTGGAGGCAACGCGTAGCAACCTTTAATTGTAAGCAACTAACAAAGTTGATTAAATAATGAAACGATTTAACGCGTTGATTACGGCGGAATTTTGCGTTAGCGTGTATTTCTAAGGGAGTGTATTGAAAGTATCAAAACACTGAATTGAACTGACTTAAACCAATATAAAGTAATCGCATTTATATAATATATGACTAATGGAAGATGTAATTGTTGAAGTAGAATTCACTTAAGTTTGATTTAAGCGAACTGTGATGAAATTATTGCCATTAACATTTTAGCGGCGCCTATAGGTGCAACGAAACCAAATTTAAAACGCCTTTCCCTAATTATATATGCAGAGGCTTGCTCTGAAATGAAGAGATCTTCTACATTCGGTTAATAAAGTGTGAAGGTCGATTTGTTGTTAATAATGTATGCGTTCACACTATGAATTCCAATCCAAATTCGGTTCGATCTGGTACTATTTTTGTGCACGGACAGTAATAGACAAAGAAAGGATCTTGAGTAGATAGATAATAATATGTATCGGGCCTTATCCGTTCAGGCACGTTCCGTCACGGAACGGTCTGTTTCCGTTAGAACAAAAGAGAATTTATACCGTCGATTTGTATTCGATCGATTATACCATATTAGTTAATTCTCGTTAAACGTCGTCAGAGAATATTCCTTTTTGTAATTGCTCTTTAAAAGCGTTTTCCTTTTAAAATGATCAAGCTTTTGTTTAACTGCCGGATAGTTCATTGTCCGACAGTTAAAGAGACATTTGTTTCCTGCATTTACGCCTTTAAACGTTTACTTCCCGTATTAACATCGACAGTCACGATGCAAATATAATTTAAAAGGATACAGTTTGTAGACAAATTTCGTCCAGTGAAATAATTAACGTGTAATTCTAGGTCAGTTCACAGTTTTTAGAAGAAAGTCAGCCACTTGATTTTATGATTCAAAATTTGTAGCTAACTGTATTGACATAGTTCTATCCTATATTTCTCTGGATTCGTATACATTTCTATAGCAGACCGTAGGAGTGTTCAACTGTAGACTTTAGGAAACTATATGCGGTCACAAATGTGTTAAGTTACTGGGATCTCATTAACAACATAGATACATACTTAGAACACGCGCTTCGCCTATTTAATGAGGGTCAGATTCCGGCCTTCGTTGAAGGTTGAACTTCGAAGAACATAAAAACAGTTTTATGAGCGAGGCGGCCTTTATGCGCAAACACATTCGAGAAATTCATCATCCACCGGTAGATTTTATTTATCCTGCGATCATACCGCGTATGCTTCGCAGGATAGGAAAGCCTTAATCTTCTTAGGGTACATTTTCTGTATTTAAACGTAGCGGAACGGTGTCGGCGAAGCGAAAGTCTCTCGAACCTATTTCTCGGGACTACTGGCTATTTATAAATAGTGTAAATCAACTCTCATTAGACATACCGTTAGATTAAACAGATTCTTCCTTGCTGCGCGAGGTAAACTCGACTCCATCGGACTCGAAGGGAAATTTCTTTCACAGTTCGTCTCGTTTAAAGTATTCTTGTTATATAATCTTTCCTATGACTTGGGAAAATTTTTGTAGTACGTGGAATAGTTTCTTTTTCTTTACATGGAAAGGTTCAGATATTTCTAGTGAGAATGATCTCCTTTACAGGCGACGCAAAGTATAAATTACTTATTAAATTAACATAAATTATAATTATTCATTCACATTATTTCCATTTTGCTTTATTTCAATGCGTAAAAGGAGTATAATTTTCCATGTTCTGTTTTTATATAATTCTATTACCTTATGCTGAAGGTTAACTAAGAGATCTTTCTTCTTAATTATATAAGTTTATAATTGTATAAATCTTATAGAACCTAATATTTAAAGTCATGTGTTAACAAATGAAAGTTACAGTCGTTGTGGTACCAATAAATTGAACGAAAATGAGTTCGTTTGATCTATTCGTCTCAGTTTCAACTGTAAAGCGTAATAATACAAATTTCTCGGTAAACTCGGTAGACTCCGCGCAAAACAACCAGCCAAAAAAGAATCCGGTTTCAAATGTCGAATGCATGATTAATGATTCAATTCCAAGTAAAGACTGTAGAAATTTTATTTCACTGGAACGGTACAGATATCTCATAGCAAGCCCAAACCAATAATTTGTCTATTTCTTCACGAGAAGTTACGTGCGTCGAATAAATTAATCTAGCAACACGCGTGTATTGGGGATCCCCAAGGAAGCATCATTTAAAATGCAAATTCGTTTGGGGGGAATATTTCGTACGGATAACTCGTTCCGATGACGAACATCTAGAAACAAGATATCTCAACCGTCTAAACGTAAACAATTCCCAGATAATCTTCCTGAGGACGCTGGATCAGTGTCAATATCGTATCGCGTCATTAATTTGGCAATATTTCAGCTTTTCGAATGAACATCGCACATCGTCGACTATACTGTCCAACAAGTTTTAACTTTCCTGTTTACGTGTTCCAGACCTTAATAGACATTTGATAATTAATTCTATTATTTAAAATGTTATGTATAATATTTCTATTAGGTAATTCGTCTAAATTATCGCGCAACGAGTTGGAAATCTGAGAATCTTCTGCATCAAGCGCAATTTTCGAAAAACTCAATTACAAAGAAACAATCAAATTTCCTTTATTTTAAAAGTTATTTCTGCGTTGAGTATCAACTTAATCGCATTAACGCTAGAAATACTGAGTAATTATAACGACTTATTCATAATTTCTTATAACAATTGGAAAAGTGCAGTTCTTGATATTCGAAGTATACAATGGTCGTTGAATCTCCACAGAAGCATCTTTACAATCTTGATAATTGCAAAATAAATATTTTCAAATGCTTCATACTGAACCATTCAGTGGTGTCAGTGTCAAAATTGAAACTTTGATTCTCTGTTTTCGAGATTGACGGTGTACGTAGAACGGAAATTGATCAGAGCCGTCTGTACAGTTTTGGAACGCGAAGTATGTGTTAGACGGTGTTTATCGTGGCGATACAGGCGCGAAACGGTGTCGGACAAGATCACGTTGTCTCGTAAGCAAACGTTGCAACACGGACTGAACGTGCATAGCGGTAATAACGCGTGCGTGGTCAGACAGTCGGGCCAAACATTCGGTCCTTTCCCTGCCGAGATCAGCAATAACTTCGGTTGTGTACACCGGGTGGGTTCGAGGACACGAATTTTTTACCGTCTGACGATTTCATGCCCTGACATCGGCACCCGGGTCTAATTGGATCTGGGTTATTAACCTCCTCAAGGATATCGACGCAATACATATGCATTGAATTTTTGTTCGACATTAAAGTTCAGTGGTCACACGTGTGAACATTATTTCTTAATCTGTTCACAATTGTTCTTGTTATCCTTCGTTTTGGTCAATATCTTATGTAAATGATAGAAGGCACTATTTATTGGAAGTTAGAATGGTCGATGTTTAAATTGTTTTTATTTATCTAGACAAAGCTATTGTAGTGTAGATTACACGTTCATTTACATGTTAAATAATTCATTTCCCTTAAATTGATAAAAAAAAAATGCATTTTTAAGTTTTAAAGGATTTTCGTTGACGAAAAAGATAGTCACCGATAAACATTATAAGAGTACAATAAAAAATCATTGTACAATGAATATGTAACTTCCTTTTCTCTGGAGAAATCATTGGTGATGAAACACCTCTCTCTGATCGGAGAAAAGTGTATACAACAAAGATTGAATTTCTTGCCTTATAATTTGTTTTATTACTGTACTTGGTAGAATTATTTTAGTGTTACTAATTTGCTAGAAACAAAGCGGAATTTCATGTTTGCCTACATTCACATCTACATTCGATTTAAAGTGTAACAATTGAAAACAAGGAATCAATATTTAATATTAGCTCAAAAGAATTAAATGATATTTATTTTCGTCAACTTCTGTTTGAGATGTTCCTTAGAAATCAGAAGGTACGGTATTGCATAGCGATGTATTAAGCCGTATCCGCACTAGTCGACTTTTCGCGTGTGGCTTCGGAAACCGCGTGGCACGAAGCCAGCGGTTCCCAAGCCGTGCATTATAATATAATTATAATTTAATTAGTTGTGTCGCGAAAGAGATTTAAAAATGTAAAAGTACAAAATGAAAGTCATAAAATAAACTCATGCTACTAACAAGGATAAACGAACCAGTTCTTATATATAATGGTCCCACATCATTTTACAAAATACACTAATATATTTCTCACAGAGCAATTATCACAGAACAGTTAAATACAAATTCTGTTTTTCTCTTTTTCTCGAATCTATGTACAAAGTGCTCCAAAATATTCTTACTCTTTTTAAAGCGTACTAATATATTTTTATTTCTTTTGAAACGCGCCAAAACGTTTTTACTTCCATCGAAAAACGTGCCCACATACCTTTACTTCCTCCGAATACGCGCCAAAATGTCTCCAGTTCCTCTAAAACCGCGCCAAAATATCTTGAGTTCCTTCGAAAGCGCGCCAAAGTATCTTCACTTCCTCTAAACAGCGTGGCGAGTACAGAACTTTGAGAACCACTGCGGGAAGCTGTCGCGGCCTGATCCGCGTGGGCCCGTGTTCCCCACCAACGACACGTCGCGGGCCCGACAGGCGCAGGCGGTGTGGATGGGACTTTAGGCTTGGGCTGTGTCTGACTGACAACGCCGGCCGATCGGACTCGCCAAGAAAGACGGCCGGCACCGGGTTCACCGGGTGCGATTGCGACGGAGAACGCTTCGCACGCAGGAAGAAACAAGATTTATCCGGTATAAACCCGTGATAGTCGGTTTCCGTACCACCTCGTACGCATTCCCCGATACCGCGCGGCCACGGTATCACACGCGTTCCAATCCGTTTTCTACCATTCAGATTCCACGATCTCACGAACGAAACTTCGTCTCGGTGCGCGCCCGGCTTTTCCGGCCGATCCGGAAGATACCGGCGCGCCGACGCGACGCGTCGGCCGAACTTCAGGTCGGTGATCCAGTTCGAGTTATTCCCGCCAGGGTTCGATATCGTCTCGAGATTTCGATCTTTCGGTAGGGTTCCAACCAACTTTTCGCATCGTTTGACTCGTCTTCATTAACCCTTTAACTGTCCCGTGACACTGATGGACCGGCCGAACGCATCTGACCAAATATGTGAATGTCTAAATTGTTTTCAATCAAAAGTGTTTATTAGTAACACGATAAATAACAAGAACAATCGACATACAATGACTTGCAGGTAACGTTCGGATATACGATGTGTTATCAATGCTTTTATTTGCATGTGGTTAATAGCTCGCATTATGTGGTAAAAAATTTATGCATTGTAGGAATGATTTTTGTCAATTGAATTCGTTTTAGTTTGATGATTGGAGGATTGCTCTGAGTGTGCTGATTTTAACGTCTCACAATATCGTGTTACATTCCAAATAGAATTTAACAAATGTCGTTCGATTCTTTTGAACCCGAGTTAAGTACTATTCTGCTATTATCAGTTGCAGTGATTTAAAGTAACCTTAAAGTAAACGTAGATATATTATAGCGAATTATGAATAATAGAATAGTTCTGTTGAGTGTACTTGCGAAGAAAATCGTAGTGCAAGAGGTTGAAGGAAAATTTTGTAGAAAATTCATTGTTATATTCATCAAGGAGAATTTAGTACGGAAATTTACAATTTATTTCTGTAAATTCTGGTTAATTGAATTGCTTGTTTGGAGAATGATTGTTTAATGTCTTTGGAAATCTGTGATGTACTAAGGTGGAAGTTTCTTATGGAGACTGTTATGCTTAATATTTGGTTAACGTAAATTTTACTTTTGAAGGCGTGTTTCCGGAAAAATTTGTATTCTGCGCTTTAGTTTATTCTTCATAAAGAATTTCTTACAGGAATTGTAAGACAAGTAGTTAATTGAGCGAAAGTGCTCTAGTTTCAATGTGTTACGGTTAATTAGAGAAGGAAGAGACTTCTCGACTTTCTCGATGAATTTCCTAATAATTGATCCGCGTTATTTTAATTGATTGTTATACGTTGCGAGATCGGTTGCATGAATGGGTCGGGAAATATTATATTAAGAATGAGAGACTCTGCGTTTGGCTTATCACGATAGCACGTTGTTATAGTAGCACTTAAAGTATTGAAGGTGTTGAATATTTTAGAAAGCAATACGGCTCGTGTAATACTAGATAATGTATCGCGTAAAACATATTAGTTTTCTTAATTTATACACGTATCCTTTTCAGCGTGACGTTTAGTACGATCTTAGTAGCACTAAATACTGGTACATAAGACTTTGAAGTTTAACGTGTAACAACTTCCACCACCAGTTGAATAATTTCGCGTAACATCAATCATCTGGGTTAGGTGAATAATTTCGCGCAACTTCCATCGTAGCTCGAGCGTCGCTTAAATTTTATTTGATAATTTTCAAAATCGATTCAAATTTTTATTTCATTCCGTAACAGAATAATTTTAATAATCTTACACTTTTCCCATTTTATTCAATCAGTTATAATTTCTGTGAAAACAAAGAAAGAAATGAAGAATATTTTTACGGTTATTATATTTATATCCATAAATAGTCTTCTTTTATTTTCTTCCCCTTTTCTCATGAATAAATTATACACCGCTGCATACATGTCACCGTGAATTACATTTTACTCTACATTCATCTGACAAGTTCTCACTTGCGTGTCTACTAAATAAATAACTAAATGAACAACCAAACAACTAACTAAATAAATAAATGAATTATTGTTATTCGAATCGCGAGAAGATGAATTTCATCACGATATCGGTTCCCAGAATGAAATCTCCGACGCGACGTAACGATTCGCACAAATGTTCCCGGCGCGAACGCTCTAGGAAGTTGTCGAACCATTTTAATGGCGGCTCCGGGACCACTGTGCGTTTGAAATGTCTCAACCTCGCCAAGAAAATTGCGTGCCAGCCGCGAACGGACACGCACGAACACACGTGACGAACGTGTGTATTCGCGCAACTGTGGAATATATTATATGTCGATAAGTAGGACTCGTGGACAATCGGAAACGATGGTGGGAGACATTGTAAACATACTATGATATTATCAACGACGCTCCGGTGAAAGTTCCTGTCGTTCACCGTGTCCGATGACCGCGTACACGGATTGACCAACACGGATTTCGGAATGCCGATACGTTTTCGTGTTCTCGCGTCTAGAATCGCGTCGCTTAGGAACGGTGTTTGCATATTTGAGAAACGGGATCGTCGCGAATAATGAGTGAGAAGGAAGAGAGAGCTAGACCTCGGAAGCAATTTTTAAACGTCCTTCTTCCTTTTTTCTTTTTCTTTTTGTTCTTTTTTTCTTTCTTTCTTTTTCTTATGGAACACATACTGCCGTCGCATTTTCTCTTTCTTAATTTACTCTTTCAAATAGTGACTTACTATTGTAGAAAATACTGTTTCGGTGCTAATAATATTAACTTATTAGTAATTACTACTTTAGAAAATAGTATTAGTTATGAGCAAAAGTTCTTACAGATTCAAAATAAGATTTTTATTTTTCAGTATTAGCATATAAAGCATATTTTATATTCGTCGATTATATAACTTTCTATTATGATTCATTGTTATACATAAGATATCCCTTACATTTAAAACTTGTTTATTTCAATCGTGAAGAGTTTTTGCATGATCATGTGAAGTGGAAAATGTTCAAACAATTTTTAAGTGGAGTGTAAACTTGTTTATTTTCCGGCTTTGCCGTACTGTTTCAAAACATTTTTATCACACGTGATAATCAATCGGCTGTTATCAAGTGAAATAAATATGGTATGAGGTAATGATTGATAAGATAATTATTTAACACAGACGGAAACTAGACTACTGTAGTATGTATTTACATTGATTCATCGCTTTTTTAATAGTAATCTTTTTTCGATAGGTCCGTTAGAAAGGGACACTTAAAACGGGTCCTCCAAAAGATGCAAATTATTACTCAATATTGACAAACCAGTATCCGCAAATTTTCAAGTGTGCTAGAAGTCTTTCTCTTCACACCGGAAATTCTGTATGTCAAGATTTAACATAACACCGAATCCATACATTTGTATACTTCATTAAATTTAACAATTAAAATCACATGATCGTGTTAAGCTACGCTATATTAAAAAAGTGAAACATAATTTTCCTAAATAGAAATCAACTAAAAAATTGTTTCTGTCTGTGAAGGTTTGTTAAAATACAATATTACTTGTCTTCTCCCTTATTAATTATTACAATAATATTACAGGTACTATATACAGTCATTAATTACCTATAAATGAGGTCTAAATGTAGTATATTAAGTGTTCAAATTAATACATAATAAATCATAATACAATAGGACGTGTCTTTTAAGATTTCCGTTAGGATTCCCAAATTGCGACACTAACGAGGTAACACTGTACACCAAGCCGTCATGCGTTAATATTGAATTTCGTCGGTTCCAACTAAAATTTGCGCTAGCACTTGACACGTCAAACAAGAATAAATGTTCTTGTTTGTATGATTTTTACCGGTATGTAAGATTTTTACCGGTCAATCGTACACGGGTGACATAACAGTGATCATGGGCGGAGAAATTCCTTGCCTTTACGGAGCGGAAACGTTGTCTGTGCCCCCACGAACAAACGGACGCCGGTCGGCCGGCCTCTCGTTTGAACATACTTGTATCCTATGTATAAGTTCTTATTTTTTATTGATCCCCTCAAGATCGTTTCGTTTTAATCCCCTCGCAACGACTGAATGCAAGGAGCAAGCATATAAATTTTCCACTTAGCTCTCGGCGTTTACCTCGCGGTTACAAATGTTAATCGCAATTGGTATTCCCCGTTGCGGCGGGCTTGAAAACTGTTCGGTCGACTGTAGAAAATGTGTCCAATGAGAGGAAGCAATTATTTTATTTAATTTATTACAATTAATTAAGAAACAATTCATTCGTATTGCGTGCAGGTGGAACATTAGATCGTTAACTACCTAGGAGAACACGGTTGTGGAAGTCACTTTTTTAATGACTGTTAAAATAGGCCTTCGTGTTTGTGACAAATGGGTTTCGAGTTTATATGCTGCATATAACTTTGTCATAAAAATCGCCTAGTTAGAAATAGTATCTGGAAATGTTGATAGAATCTCTGACGATGACACTCGAGTTCGACTTCCTTACTCTTCACCTTAATATATTCTGAGGTACTTGAGAGCTAAAGAAATAAGGAAACATCTATTTCAGATTGAGAAATAAATTACTGTCTTTAAAATGAACGTTTCCTTAAATCCAATAAAACATTCTGTTCATCAGTCGAAGTGACTTTCTTATATTTTCCTACAGAAACTCTAAAAATGTATTTATCGAGACTTCAATGACACGTCATTCAGTTGCATGTTATTCAAACAATTTCTTCAATAATCCCTCAAAGAAGCATCTGTTGTCGCTTCAATAACTGTACAAGAATTAGTCAGAAATGTGTCGTGTTGATCCAGTAGTTCTAACGTTAACACGTTGACTACAGCGGTGGTCAATGATGACCGGAGCTTTCAAATTTCTTGGAAACAATCACGATGAACAAACTGATGTCGAATACAAGTATTTAGTAACATAAGTAACTAGACAATAGCGTAGGATGAACACTATGACACTAGTTCATTAAAAATTATTTCTAATATCATTTACCCTTGTCATGGTGGAATACATATTATTATATGAAACGCTTGAATTCCTCGTGGCAATCAATATGTTAACACTAGAACTACCGTACCAGTCAGAATGATTGGTTTCGGTTTTCTTGTTTCGCAGTTATTGATATTTTAAAAGCATTGAATATTCGAAATAATTTTGGAAATAAATAGTTTCACTTGAATACTACAATAAATGTCTGAAGAAACCGAGAATAAACTATTTTTACAAATTTTATAGAGATTACATATCAATCGTATTAAATGCTCAGTAGTTCTAGTGTTAACGACCAGATGCAAAAGAAAATTCACCAAACGTGAAACGTTGAATTAAATGAACCCGTTTCCGTCTTGAATGTTTCAAGTGCTCAGCGAGGGAGAGTTCGGCAGCGGCGGTGGCAACAGCACCACCAACTTCAACAAGGTGAAGCTGTGCGGCGCGGACTTTTGCGTCCTTGGGAACGGAGGCCACGATAACCTGGAGCGTCCTCCCGAGTCGGAGATCTACGAAATATCTTCGATTTACCTGACTTGTGTAATCGTCGCCGTAATAATCGTCGCCCTCTTCGTTGATCCCCTCTCGAGGTGAGTCCGCTAACGTCGATCCTCTAACTAATCTAAGCAGCTTTCCTATCAGGCCGAGGCTGACCTTTAATTCTTCATTTCACTCGCGTTGCGCCGCCGCGTGATTAATATCTGATAGAAGTACACGTTGCAGCCCGTAATAATCGTATTTATCGGTTTATTTATACATTGTGACATTCACCGTTGCAGTCGCGAGGCGCAGTCGACACCGTGTCGGCCGTGAGAGATGAAATTCCTCCGGCCCCGAGACATTGTAAAATTGAAAAAATACTTTCTAAGCGTTAATGGCTAATAATTCATGTTCGTTTTCTGCATACACGTCGCTCGTCTTCTTTTTTTTCCTTCGGTTCGCGCCGTTTTCCAAGAATTTATTGTACGGCTCGATAACGTTAATCAATTTCTCGGTATTATAGTTAATAATTCATGCTCGCGTGTTCCTGCGCATTCTTGCTCGCTTTCGGGTATCAATGTTACCTGGAAATTGGTGATTAGTTTCTGATAATGATAATCAGTTCCTGAATATTATGTGTACAGTTAATAGTTCATGATTCAGTCTTGTTTAGTAATCGGTTTGTCATGGCCGTCCATTATTTAAATTTGTAGATGTTGTTCTGCTTTCGATAGGTATCGTAATCTTCGATTTATCTTAAATGTAATGAAACAAATATTACTACTTATTGATTTGTGTTCAGTGATTTTTTTAATTGCTTCGTTCGAATTGCAATTAATCTAATCAGTTCTAATTTGTGATTCAAACGATCCTCTTGTAACAAACTGCTTGATGTCGCACGACATACGGTATTTAATTAACCAGTCGACAAGTTTCTTTCAATGTCAACGATACATTTGTTAATGATCACTCGGGCTCATTGAACAATCGTTTCATTAGAATTTCGTGATAGAGCCATAATCAGATCTCGAGGCCGTGTACAATGTTTTCCTTCTTTTAAGTACTGACTGTCCAATATTGATCGAATTCAAATATTCGTTATTTTCGCTTGTTCAAACTCGAATAATAAAAATATTGTCTCGGGCAAACTTCAACGCCGACATTCTTTCAACACGCTGCACAGAAATTATAATTTATTAACGTCTGCGTGCGCGGCAAGGCCGAACGGTATCACGAAGTGTGTGTAATCAACTCGAATCGAGACGTGCCTCATCGAATCGCTTTCGAGAAAAAAAAATCTTCCCTCGAAGCGCGCGCATCAGTTTAATGTAAATATTTAATACCGATGAGTCAGTCTCTTATAGGCCTCATAAAATCGCCTGTATTATTTAACGAGGATTCACTAAGCCTCTATTTATTATCGTGAAAACACTCGAAGCCACTGGAAGGCCGTCGCATCTCGAAAGTTACTCCGTGTTAAACAAATATCTGGAGTTGAAACGGTCGATTACTGAAACCACTCGGTGAAACTCTGTATTTTTCCGTTTCCGTTATTAGAAGCCGTCGTCCGTGTTTTCAGCTCATTAACCCCATTATCGAGATCTTGAGTCTCTGTCCCATATTACACATAACGTTTTCCATATCGAAATACTTGACAGGAAATTGCAGAACTATGTAAACTCTTCTTAACTTTGTTTCACTTTTCATCTCGCTATATAATTTTTTGATAAAGAAATAACAATATCGTTACGAGGTTATCACTGTTCGCGGCGCACGGGCGAATTCAATTTCAAAGGTGTTATTGCGTGACAAAATGGCGATCGATGCGTCAGCCGTGAATTGAGACATCAATTTATTTTTAATTTCGAAACACTCGATTTTCCTTTGTTTATATATGAAAATACGACAAACAGAAATTTAGAACGATCGCAATTCTCATTTACATTTGCATATTTGACAATTTACTGGGCGCACACGTATGCAAATAAGTGTACAAGTGTTTCGGACGCATGTTATATTCGAGGATGATTGGTTGGAACGGCTTTCTGCACTTTTTAATTAGACTTTGATGGAACGTGTATTAATTGGATAATAATTATACGATTCTCGTCGTACACGCGACTTCGTTATTCTAACATTTGCGTTTTCCTCGAGTACATATCCGTGACACGGCGTGCCAACAAAGACGAAATCAATAAATCGATCGTGCAATGACGCAAAAGACGAGCCGAACAAAATTGAATTTTATCAGTTTCATTCGCCGAAAACACGCTCGCGGTTCCGTGTTTACGATCGCGAGTCCGTTCGGGATCGCGGACGCGAATAAAATTGATTTTTTCCGCAATTATGTTGTATAATTCGTCCGCGTCGCGTTTGAATGATGGCGCACACGTGTGCAGATAAGCGCAATGATCGCCTAGCAGTAAAATTCGCTCGCATTCATTACTTCGCGCCGAGTGATTCACGTCGTAGTCATATTTTTTCTTCCCCGCGTACGCTTTTATAAATTAATCCTTTCCATTTAAAGCTTCTTTTCACTCGTATTACGAGCAACTTAAAGCAATTTCAATAAAAAAAAATATTCGCATACAAATAAATGATACGCGCATAAAAAGGAAAATCATAGATATATTTTATTGCCGTTTGTTATTGACTATAGAAACGAATATGTTCTAACGTATTTAATGACAAAATTTTATAGTTTATAATGACAAATTTAAAAATGAACCATCTTGGATTTCTGCTTTCGTAATTATTGAAAAGTTGCACCGGTTTTCCTAAAAAGTGTTTTGGTAAATTGATTCGCTAACGTGCATTTCAAAGTACAGATCAATTAAAACGCATTTTCATAATTTGTACAAGGAAATACATGTTAGGCGATTTGTTTGTTCGCCAGTTCTAGTCAACGGGTAGACGTTTTCGGCAATACTCGGCTCCGCGTCTCGAACAAAGGCCTTCTCCGCGTACTTGGAGTCTCGAACGTCATTCCGTCGGTGAACGATGACATTGAACCGTAATTAATTAATTTATGCTCGGCCTTGGATAAAAGTAAACGTCTCATTTCATTTATTCGATGCACCTCTTATGGAATAAATTGTACCAGACGTTATCTTTGCGTCAAGCTTCCGTTCTGCGTCAAGCGAAATCAAAGAATTCCGCAAAACATTCTAATATTCTTGTAAAAGTTTCAATCGTTTCAACATCCATATCGTTGAAACCAGCTTGCGAATGAAAATATACTGTTACCGTTACAATTTGCACTGAACATTTATAGCTTCATTAATCGGAAAGGCGAATTTTGACGAGAGAAAAATTGATCTCCGACTTCTAATGAATCGAATCCGATAGGTATTCTATAGAGGAATTTCATTTACGAAATATAGTGATGTTTCATTGGGTAAACGTTTCTCGATGAAGCGCGCATGTGTGCGCGCGGTTGGTACTACACGGGAGAGACTTCAATGCCGGCAACGGCCAGAAATTTATCGAGTTTTAATAAGTACAAATTGCGGCTGCCGGTTGCGCAACCAATCCGTGCTTGGATGCATCCAGCGTCGGATGTACGCTATTTTGTAATCATGAGCAGAGCAATGTTTATAGCGTTTCTGAATGGTCGAAGAGGAGGGGGTGGGGATCTTGCACGGATCTCGCGCGATACACGATTATTAAACCGCGCGGCGTTTCGTAATCCCGCTGGAAAAAAATGTTACTGTCTCTTTTTTTCGCTCTTTTTTTCTCTTCCGTTATGCGGGCGGGTTTTCAAGAAGCCGTCAGAAGCCGGCGGATGTCAGAAGCTTCTGGAAAACCCGATCCCGCGGCGAGATTTGACGCGCTAATTCCCATTCACTGGAAACGATCGCGGCCAATGGAACCGATTTTCGTGTTCGCTTAACCAATTATCCGCTACAGTTCGCGTTCACGCGTCTCGCAGGATTATTTCGAGTCGTCCGAACGTCGGGAAATCTTTGTTACGTGTTGACTTTGCAGGTTCACGCGAACGAAATTTCAGATGTTAATTTGTAAAAAGGAACACTTGGAAAAAAGACGGAATTCAAGTGTTTCGTTATGTTCGTAGTAGCTCACTTAGAATACTGAACTTTTGATAAAATCTTTATTTTTACTTGTTCGAACGTCGGAGAATATTTATTCTGTGACGACCCGGTGTACTCGCGTGAACGAAAGTTCGAACGTTAATGCATACAATGGAATATTTAAAAAACAGGCGGGATTTAAATAAAAGAGACATTTAAAGAATAAATGGAAGAATTAAAAGAAACATTTAAAGAACAGACAGAATTTAAATGTTTCGTCATATAAGTATACGTGCAGTATTAAACTTTCGATATAATTCTCATTTTACAAATTACATATGCGTGAATGTCATTAGAGTCTTCGTTCTTTTTGTAATTTTGTGTTCGGATCGAAATTGATATATTTTCAATTTTATTTAATATGTGTTATTTGAACTTTTTACCATGAGTAAACTTTCCTCTTTCTTAATGTTGGAAAAGGGAAAAGGAATGTTTTTAAATTATTAATAAAAAACCGCGGATCTTGATGAGTCTGGGCAATTCTCGTTGACACCTGCCCACCGGGATGATATGTATAATTAATTTGGCCGTAGGCGAACTACCATAATGGCGTAGCAGCAGCCTAGATCATCACGGTTTCTCCAGAACTCGAAATTTTTTGTTGTCCCTTCCTGCCGTGGCAATCAAATCCTTAGCCATCAAGTTCGCTAAAATTGATTACCTTTTTTTCAAACACGAATATCTTTTTCTTTTGATTTTCTTGTTGTCTGCCATAGAGGAATGATTTTAAACTATTGGGTAGCAGTGATTTTTTTGTAGTCTACCCTCACTTTTTAACAAAATGGTTCTGACAGTGATTTCGGTATCCCAGCTTCCTAGTTCGAAATTAATTCGAGGCGTTTTGATTTTGATGTCTGATTTCTACTAAGTTTTTTACTATGTTTCTTTTCTGTTAATAAGTATGAACATGTGTGTTACTTAGAATTCAGAAAAACACAGTAGAAGTTATGATTGAACGATCGGGCCCGTAAGAATGAAACGGAACAATGGTTCTGTTGCTCCATCCCCTCCAGCGCGTT